ATATATATATATATATATATATATATATATATATATATGGTACGGTTTGTATAGAGCCGAGGCTTTAAACAATCAAATTAGAGCCTACCTTCAAATAGTGTCAAGAAATGTGGTTTCAATACTGGAAATCTTTGTGATACCCTTAAAATATATTTTCATGTTGAATTATAAACTTTTAAACTTCAAAAATAGTATGGATCGAGCAAATCTATAAACACTTTAAAATCTTGAAAATTGACGTTCCAAAAATGTATTACAAGATGCACTATTTCCAAAACTTGAAATCCATTTTTTTCTCATGTTTATGCACCTTGATGTCGAGATGATCAATTTGAGGACATTTGGGCATCAAAACAATCTCTTCTAGTGAAATTTTTGAGGTGGGCTCTAGTTTGATCGTTTAGAGCCTTAGCTCTACATAAACTTTTTGCATATATATATATATATACACTACAAAATGCCTATAGGCGAAAATGAACAGTAATTTCACTGTCCAAAGTACATCGTACGGTCACGATTGTCCGGTAGTGTCTATTTTTATTTTATTTTTTTTTACAAATAGGAAGATCTAAAATTTGGAGCGTGTGTTCATAAAAAATAGGCGAATCTATGAAAAATATCAAAAAAATATTTTACATGAATAAATTGACCAAAATACCTCCAAAAAGTTTCAAGGGTATTTTGATCAATTTTTTTCACAAATTATTATTTTTATATATTTTTATTAAGTGCACCTCACTAATATGTACACACACTCCAAATTTCATATCATTCTGATTTGCAGAAAAAAATTAAAAATAAAATACTACTGGATAATCGTAACTGTGCGATGAATTCTGGATGGTGATGTGGGTAGGCAAAATCACTGTTCATTTTTGTTTGTAGGCGTTGGGAAGACATATATATATATATATATATATATATATATATATATATCGACATCGAGATGATCAATTAGAGGTTTGTCAACATCAAAACAGCCTTTTTCGATGGATTTTTGAGGTGCACCTTAATTCTATAGTTTATGTCTGCAACCTTATACAAACCTTTTCCAATTTGGTGTGGTTTACATGAAGGCATCAACCTTAAACAATCAAAGAAATACTCACTCCCAAATTCTATTTATAGATGCAGTGTAGATGCCAGAAGCCTTTTGATGGTCTGAATATCTATTTTTGCTGCTAATTATAAATTTTAAGTATCATAAAATAGTGTAGATCGAGCATATCCATAAACATTTACAAATCTTCTGGATAAATGGTCCAAAAAATGTATTACAATATGTGGTATTTTAAGGGGCAATATATACAATGAGACGATTTACTTTTGATACAAGGAAGTCACAATCATCATTTACCATTAGATTTAAATTGGGTATGTGAGGATGTGTCATTGTTTGGACACAAAGTTCAAAATAAATTTTCTCAAATGTTTTGAAAACATGTTCATTCCTTATATATTGTGTCGATTTTACACTATAAATATTGTAAAAATAAAATACACCTTCAAAATACATTGTAAAATATTATTTTGAGAGTGAAAAGTCTTCGAATTGATTATCTTAACCTCAACATGAGTGGAGATGAAAAAAAATTCAAGTAATAAAATAACGCATTTTCAATATCCAGAAAGTCTACTTTCAATATTTTCAAAATTTAATTGACATGCTGGATATGCATTCTTGGAGTTTTAAATTTCGTAATTTAGTTGTATAAATAGATTTTAAAGCCATCATAAAGGTTTTTGATAATGAAATTACCTCATCTAATCTATTAAATGGCATTTTACTAGTGGTTAAGAAGGGCAATCATTGCATCATGTGGGTGCCATCACATCTCACGTAGATGATGTCATCATTAACTGTAGTTAATAAGTATTTATCTCTTTATGAAGATTTTTTATTTTACTCCTGATTAATTATCTAGATTATCTTTGGACAATCAATGTGATATCTTGAAAAAAGATGCTTCACATATACAGATTTAAACCACTATTTAAAAACCCAATAATTTGGGAAGAATTACTAATCTAAGGATTGGATCAAGTGGGTGGGCCATCTAGGTATCACCCCCAAAATTCCCCCAATTTTATATTTTATCGATTTTTAATCAATATTTCACCATTTCAGCCAATTAGGATCCCCGACACAAATTAATACTGGTTTGTTAGATGCAGATGACACTTTGCTTTTTTCTGGAGCAAAGATGGATGAAGTACAAAGTATAAAGCGAATGCTTTAATGCTGTGAGATTGCCTTGGGATTAAAAATTAACTTTCATAAGACTTCAATAGTTGGTGTTGGCTGCTTGCAGGAGTTGTTGGAGATTTTAGCAGTGGTGATGGAGTGCAGGGTGGAGACTTTCCCTATTAAGTATTTAGGAGTTCCGAATTATGATTCGAAATTGCTCAAATCAATTTGGGATCCAAGTGGTGAAACAAGCTCATACTAAACTGGATTTGTGGAAAACCAATCACTTATCTTTGGGAGGTAAGCTAACTCTTATCCAAGATTCTTTATCTAATCTACTAATATATATAATGTCATTGTTGGTGATTCCGACATCTGTGTGTAAACACTTGGAACAATTGATGAAAAAAATTTTGGGTTCTTATGGAGATGGTCAAAAATACCATCGGGTCAATTGGGATAGAGTGTGCACACTTAAAAAAGAGGAGGAATGGGTTTAAAGAGAGTGAAGTTAATTAACCAGGCTTTGTGGGCAAAGAGGTGGTAATGTTCTAGACTGTGCGGGGATCAGCTATGGTGTAAAGTGTTAGTTGCGAAATATGGCATTGATTCTACTACTCAGATGATTCCTAGAGGCAGAAGGGTTATTGATTGTTCTCCTATATGGAAAGGTATTTTGGGCACTAGAACGCTGGTTTTAGGAAGTTTGAGATGGGTCTTGGGAAATGGGAGCTTTATACACTTCTGGCATAACTGATGGCTAAGCGCGGAAGCTGTAAAGTACTAGTTTGCAGAGCTATTTGAATTACCTATTTGTAAGGAGATTGTGATTCAGCAGTTTGCTGAAATGATGAATCTTCTCGAAGGCAGTCGTATATCACATTCAATGGATGATGAAATGATATGGGAAGCCCAGAATGATGGTCCGTTCAGTGTTTGGTCCGCTTATGATCTCTTATTTTATGACAGGTTGAGATGGAATTGGGTTTCTTTGCACAAGGTCTGGAAATGGCCAATTCCATTGAAAGTCGGTTTTTTGTGGATATTATTTCAAGCAGAACTTTAATAGGGGACAATCTCATTAATAGGGGTAGAATGATGGTAAATATGTGTCTTCTTTGTAAAGAGGATGTTGAATGTGTTGACCACCTGTTTTTACATTGTTCTTTTTCTTATAATATTTGGTGTTGGACGTTTCGGATGTCAGGATTATCAATGGTTGTTCCTGGATCTCATGTTGATATTTTGGAGCATTGGGATTATGTAGTTCTATTTGAGGTAGGAAAAATGATTTGGCAGATTGTGAAGGCTGCGGTATTGCCGGAAATATGGAAGGAAAGAAATAATAGAGTTTTTGAAGGAAGAATTACAGAATTGGGTGCAGTGAAGAGAAGGGTTAGTCATAGTATTTGAAGATGGTTCTCTATCACAAATGAGGGCTTTGGGGTTCCTGTGGTTGATGTCTTAGTAAATCTCGCAAATCTTGTAGGCCAAAAGATGATTATATGGTGCCCACCAATGCATGATACAATCAAGTGAAACTTTGATGAGAGTTTGCATAAAAATCCAGAGACAACAAGTTATGGTGGGGTGATTAGGAATTCTAATGGCCAAGTTCTCTAGTGCTATGGTGGACCTTTTGGGGTAGCAACTACAAATGCTGCGGAGATAGAGGCTGCGCTTCGAGATATGCGCATAGTGTTTCAACTATTTAGGAGCTACCCATGTATTGTTGAAGGTGATTGTATGAATATTATTAATTGGTGCACGAAAGAAACTAATTCACCATACAATTTGAGGAATAAGTGGATGGAAGTTAATTGTATTAGTAGCTAATTAACAGTAACTTTCCAAAATATATATATGTATATATATCGAGAGAGAGAGAGGAGGGGGGGCAAATACGATGGCCGACGGTCTTGCAGCTAAAGGAGTTCATATGGATGATTTGTTAATTGCCGAAGATCTGTTTGCATGATTTTTATGTACATTTGTAATACTTTTGAGTTATTAATGAAGTAAAAGAAGAAAAGAAGAAGAAAAAGGTACAGCGGGAGGCCCATCAAAAACCTGGTGTTAACCAATACCTTTCGTTTTGTTGCAATGAGTGGCACCTCTCCTTGATGGTAAACCCAAAAACTTCGCAATATAGAAAGATAAAATAGTCTATGACCTCGATTAGTACACATGGAAAGTTCCTAACCTTTGTTATTGCACGATTGGGTATTGGCAATCACTTTCAAACTTTCAAATGTATTCTTGGTGGCTTCTCTAAGTATTTAAGTAGTCGAATCATTAACCAAGCTCAAAATCCTTGAAGTCTTGAAATTTTTTTCGAGTTTTACGATACAACCCAAACCATTGGATTCTACATCTGATGGTTAAAAATGATTGTTACCTTGTTGTATCATGGATATATGGTTTTATAATATAAAAGCCTTTTCCTAAATAAGACCCAAATTAAGAGAATTCTTCCCGTCATCCATGTTTTCACCTCATTTATAACAAAAGATCCTCCAACCAATGAAGTGAAAAGTTGAATTTCTATAAAAAAAATCTTTTCACCCCCCATCATCACACCCTCCTATAAACCATATGCCCTCTCTCCCATGAACCCTCAATCATCATTCGATACCAATTACCATGTACAACTAAAATTAATGGATACTAAAATAAATAAATAAATAAAATACAATGAAATCATTATCTTTGATACAAAATAAACATAATTAATCTTAACCATTGGATGTGAAATTAGATGGCTGAATTTATTGAATTGATCAAGCACAAACTACAAAAAATATATTCTCAAACTTTGTGACACACCCAAGCTATCAAATTTTACATCAGATGATTGTAAGTAATTCTGACCTCCTTGTATCTAAAATAATTCCAATAGTAAATATGAACACCAAGTTCCACAATTGTTTAGGTAAATACCAAGTTCTATATGAACAAAATTTTCACTTTGCTCTTATATTGAATCTTTGATCTTCAAACGCCCAATTGGAACACATAAGCACGCACGCGCGCGCACACAGAAACATAGAGTGATGAGAATAAGGTCAAATAAACCACGAGAGATATATACAAGTAAAGAACTTTATAACACAATTCTAATGCCCATAAAACATATTTGAAGTGTGTCCAACTGTGAACGACACTAGATGAAGGGGCCCATGAACAACAGAAGGTATGAAATTAAACCATAACCCTAACAAGAAATTAAACCATAAATTCTAACAAATAAGCTCAGAAAATCAAGAAAGAAATCTCTCAACAATTCCAACCCCGTTTTCTAAGATGGATGTTGTTTGCCTCCAGTGGATTCCTGGGTGCCGGGTGCTTGTCATCATTTTCAAGTAAAGTTTTCAACATGAATCTCAAGGCAACAAATTAGATTTTCCTTAGCAGTGTAGTGTGCATTAATTTTAACATAGAATACACATAATTAAAGAAGAAGTAAACGAAGATAATGATTTATACATAAAAACCGTGCAGCTCTCATGGCAATTACAATCTGTTATATTTATCAGTACATGCTTGTAATGTGAAATTATAAACATACAATGGATCGTTCACTGTTCTAAATCGACCATAGAAACTAGTTCCAAGACCAATCATGCACAACTTCTTATGCGACAAACCCAAAGTTTGAATGTTCACTAAATTTTACAAAACATCTAAGAAGCCCATCTTTCTATGACATTTTAAGAAAGAAAATAGCTAGCTTTCTCCCTAAGAAACCCAGTTTCAAGCCACCAATTCCCTTAAAGAAAAGCGAAACAGATGATCACGAACAATCCAATCACTAACAGATACTTCGAAAGCATGGCCTCTTGTTGTTGAGCCTGAGTTGGAGGATGAGGAAAACCATGGGCATGGCCATGGACATGGCCCCCATGAAATGGGTTAGAAAACCCATAAGGGAAGCCAGGAGCGGCCCCATAAGCAGTTGCATCAGGAAATCCATGCATTTGAAATCCAAAGAGAGCAGGAAACAGCCCAAAACCAGCTGAGAAAGTGAAGTGCCCAAATCTCGAAGCAGCCATTGGAGCACCACCCATGAACCCAAAAGTTTGATGGGCCATGTGGTTTGGGTCTGGAGGTGGTGCTGTTTCAGGCCTTTGGCCTGCCGGTCGATTAGGGATGTTCGTGCCAAGTATCGATCTTGACCTAGGATCAGTTTGGTTTTTACCTCGACCATATAAAGGAACTAGCTTCTCTTCTTGGATGAGAGCCTTACAAACAGGACAATCTTGACACTGAGAATGGTTGTGGAGCCATTTGTAGAGGCAAGGCCAGCAAAAGAGATGGCCACATAGTGTCACAATTGGATCTTGGGCTAGCTCGAAGCATATGTTGCATTCAAAATTACCTGCATCGCCCCCAATGTTGCCTGAGCAAGAAGGGCTTTGAGGTGGTTTGGTGTAGTGTCTCATTGATTCATCACCGAAACTACTGGTTCCATTGTCCATCTTTAAACCTGCTCGCTGGTAAACAGAAAGCCTGTAAACAGAAATCAATAGTTAAACAGAGTTGATTTTTATTACCATAACCAGACTATATGGAACAAATAATGTAATCAAACTACAATCTTTGCCCAGTGAAGATCCTCCTTTTACCGGTAAGAAAAATATAATTTCTATTGTGTCCCATCCAAACATAACAGGCATGAAAATAGAAGTATCAAAATAATCCATACAATAAATCTCACACCGTTATACTAATCAGGCAGATTACCAAATCAGAATGCAACCCCAAAAGCCTAGGAGCCAGTATGGATGCAGCATATAAGTCCGCAGATCAAGCCACCTAACTGAGGAAGTAGGAAAAACAAGTTTACATAGCTTTTTTCCCCAATGGCATCCCCGGTATGTCAGGTCTAATGTACAACATCCCCCAATTTAATGTATATAAACAAGCCGCCCAAATATCTAGGAAAGGGCCCATGCTAATGGTGACTCATATGCCATCCAAACAGGCCCTGATAGGATGAACTCGAGTCGAGCATTTGCCAGGCTTAAAGAGAAACACAGAGGTAAAAATCAAATGGGTTGAACTTCTTAAAAATGGCATGGAATATGAAATGTACCTAAGAATTAGAAACTCATGATTTCTAAAGCATATAATCAAACATGCAATAAGATAGCCATTACAAACTTAAAAAGAGCTAAAATCAGAGCTCAAGAGAACAATTAGTTAGATAATTGGTCTTTGCGATCAAAGGTAAAACAATGGCAGGACCGCAATACATACAGGTTATCCAATGAACATAATTTATCGACCAAAGAAACACAAAGTTATCGCCACAATTACCTTTCTTCAATTGTAAAAGTTCTATATGTTATTGAGAAAGTATCTAAAGTCCTACACCAAGTTAAAACAACAATTATCACTTAGATTCGAAGGATCCATGGTGAAATTTTTCAAACCTTAGATCATTGACTCAAAATTAACCATATTATAAAGCAAAAAGCAAAAATAAAAATAAAACCCTCTTTATAAAGCTATAAGAAAGCATATCAAAACTACATTATCATTTGCTCTAGACTAAACCATGTAGACCAGTCACAAAATTAACCTCAATACAAGGCTCTTTCACTGAAAATGCATCAAGACAACGGTAGAAAGTGTTGGAACTCACTTTTTTTGGCAAGTATGTTGGAACTCACTTTAGGGCCCGGATAGAGCAATACCTCAAGGACAAAAATAAATTTATAGACATAAGGTAAAATACACACCCAAAAAAAAAAAACTCTTTACAGCTATGAATATAACATAACAGAATCCCATTTTGATCTGCTCATCAAACTAATCTTGAGTAACCAAGCAGAAAATTATAAAAAGCTCCTCCACTGAATCTCAAGAACATGGTTTTCTCGATTTCAAAATCAAAGGACGCAGTGATAAGGCAGAACAGAAGTATAGCAGAAATACAGATTTGGAAGAAACATAGTCAATTAGGTAAAGAAAAGAGACAACTTAATCCTTATAGCCCTTGGTAAAATAAACCATAAGTCACCCAAAATTTTTATGCATGACGCAAAACAAGTTCATGAACCCCAATTTCAACACAATCTGCAAGAATAATCAATTGCCACCATTTCTAGATACTAACCGTTGCAAAATCAGGGCTAAGGAAATCCCACAATTATGAAAATTTCCCAAAAGAGAAGAACTATAGATCTAGAATTCTAGATTAATAGTATTGCAGAATACAAAAAAATCATCATTTACAATCCATGCAAAGCTGGGGAAAAGAAATCCTAGGGCCCAATAGAATTCCTAATAAATAAAAACCCATGAAAAAATTGTTGCAGATAAAAAAAAACACTTATTTCCCCGAAGAATAAGCCTTAAACATCTAGGGTATAACTGATTCGAGAAATCTCAAGAAAACAAATGCAGCCTATAAGAAAACAACAAACAAACACGGTAGAAGGTCATACAAGAACAAACGCTAAAGATCTAGACCCCACTTATCAAGAAAGATCATAAAAGAATAAACATTACAATCTAGATTCTAGAGCACGATGGTTGCAGAAAACCGTGGAAAAAAGAACCCTAGAAAATCCAGTCCCACAAAATCTCAACACGAATGCACCCTACAAAACCTAGGGCTAAATTGATGCCGAAAACACACAGAATCGCATCAAAATATTCAAATTCATGGCTAATTTTCTCCAAAAACTATAACAAATTAAAGCCCTAGAAATCTAGGTCAAAACTGAGGCAGGAAATCATGAAAATAATAATAATAATAATAATGATCTAAAAATGAAATGCAGCATATACACAAAAGAAGGAAAATTAAAAAGAATCACCTGCCTTAAAATTTCTCACAAAGAAGAATTTGGAGATCAATGGTATAATTAAGGGAGAGGAATGCCCCTTCGTGTGATGATAAAAAAAAAAAAAAAAGAAACACGCGTACGAAGTTTCTAGGGGGCGTCTCATTTAATAATGAATTGTATCACCAACTTATACAACAGTAGCTGTTCATATTACACTCGAATATGAACAGTTCTTCCAACCGTTAGATTTGAGCCGCGAACGGATGGATTATTCAAAACGACGAAAAGAAACCCCCCGCGCTCTATTGCTAAATCGAACGGTCTGTATAGATTTTATATCAGGACAATCTATAAACAGGTATAGTTTCCGCTCTTTTTTTGCCTTTTTTTTTTTTGTATTTTTGGGGGAGTAAAAAAGTCCAAAACAAACCATATATTTGATTGTTATTGACCTGAATAGTCCTTTCCTTTGTCCTTTTATTTTTATGGTAATTGGAATTGAAGTTACTCAGAAGTTGCTATTTACCTAAGTAGCGGCCTCTTTAATTCTCCTTCCCTTTCTCAATTCTTTTCATAAAATTTTTCCTTTTTTGTCTAAAATGTCAAAATCAATTTACATAAGTAACCCCATTAACCCAATGTTATCAACTTTGCTTAGCTTTGGACTCCAAAGAGGCCAAAGCTTTCAAATTTTAGGCTAGATTGTAGCGAAATGAAGCTTGGTGTTGCCGCTTCAGTGAGATTTAGGTTTGCTTTGGGCCAATTCGGTCGAAGAAATAAATACCTATACCAAAGTACTTTTTTTAAAAAAATATTGTATTTTGTCTATGACTTTTATATATATATATATATATATATATATATATATAATTTACATATTAAATTTAAAACATTAGAAGTCCTCCCTTGGATCGGCTAAAACACCAAATTACTTTATTTTTCTCACCAAACCAAAGAAGACTCCGAAGCAAATTTGACAACATTGAATTGATCCCCTCCTCTCTCTCATTTCTAAAAATATCTTCCTTTTTCCTAATTTTGGGTTAAAGGCTAAAAAATAGATGCTATTTTTATGAGTTCCAGGTCTCATATGTAGATACCACGATTTATTTTTTAGATAGATTTTTTCCCTAATTTTTGGATAGATATAATTTATAACATGGAGATAATGAATGCGTAAAAACATAAAATTTAAAAAATGAGAATTTTTTGAAAGAAATTTTTAAGCAAATGATTAAGCTTTCTAAGTTTCCCTTACAGCATAAAACTTATAACTTCCCTTTATCCAATTGTTCATTCTGAATGGAAGGCTAAGATTGCCCCAATCACAATACGTCTCTGCACTATTTTATTTTTAATTTTTTTTCTATAAACTATTTTGATACCAAATTTTGGACATCCAATCCTCTATGAAACTCGCACTAGCACAAAATATAAAAACAAATATTTCCAATAAAATGAAATGACCAAAATACTTCTGAAAGTTTCAAGGGATATTTTAATCATTATATTTTATCACAAAATTATTTTTAATATTTTTTATAGGTGCATCCCAATGAGAAGATGGTATGTACAAAATTTCATATTCATACCATTTATATAAAAAAAAACTAAAAATAAAATACTTTGAGAGGTCGGATCTTATTTATGGAAACGACACTCCATATCTATCTTCAAGAAGTACGTGCGATGCCTATGGGACCCAAATATAGTTATACATGCCCCAAGCAAGCTTTTTATGCTTCCCCTATAACATAAACCTTATATACTTCCCCTTATCCAACAGTCCATTCATAATAGAGGGTTAAGATGGCCCCAATGATAATGTCACATCTCTACACTATTTTATTTTTTTATTTTTTCTCTATGAATTATTTTGACACCAAATTTTGTACGTCCAATCTTCTATTAAACTCGCACTAGCGAAAAATATAAAAAATTATTTTTAATTAAATAAAATGTCTAAAATACCCCTAAAAGATTTAAGAGGTATTTTGATCATTATACTTTATTGAAAATTTATTTTTCACCTTTTGATAAATTTAAAAATAAAACATATGTATGCTTACTTGCACATGTACATGATAAATTAAACAAAAAGGGTTGCAGTATTTTAAAACTCGCCGAAGGACAAGAACTGGGTGATGTACAAATAAGTATTCAAAATTAAAAAATTGATTTCATGCTGTCGGAGGCATAAATCAAAATTAAAATTCAAAAAATAAATAAAAAGCACTTGAAAAAGAAAAATGGCAGAAAATGCAAAAAATACCAAAAAAAAAAAAACAATCTTTGGGATTTTGGGATTTGATTCAAAAAACTTTATTAAAACTTTAGAGACCAATGCAATAGAAAAAGTTTTGGGGCATATTTGAATGAATTTTGCGAAACAATGAGAGAGAAATATAAGATTTGCTAGTTAAATAGAGTGCATTGATAGGGTGAAACAATTTTAGAAATTCAATTTCTTTTATTTGTTTTTCAGTCTGAAGCATTACTATAAGGTTTTAATAGAGGACTTCAATATTTTCAAACAAGGTTTGAAAAATGTATCGGTGACCTAGATCGTCCATCTAAAAAATCAAAATCAGATCGCCGAACTGGATCAGAGGATCAGCAAGATCTGGTGTTAAAAATTATTCAAATAATAACAAAAAATGATTGAAAATCTAGTTTGTAGGTTTTTCGAAAAAAAAGTTGTATTGCATTATTATTTTTAATTATTTTTATTGAAAACATGTCAATACTGAAAACTTGTCTCATGTCAGAGTATTTCGTATCCATTATATTCATTTTATAGTCAAATGAAATTGAAAATGTAATTCATTGTAATAAAATAAATCTCTTAAACTCAAATTTATAATGAAAAAATGAAGTGTATAATAGTTTTGGACGTTTCAATGTAATAGAGAGAAGATAAAGGTATGACCTTCATAAATAATAGATCTTATGCATAATAATTAGTATGGACAAAAATATAGCATTTAGAAACATGAACTTGGAATCGTGTTTTAATAAAATTAGAAAAATAAATAAATAAATTCATACTTGTGATGTAGAATAATGGATAAAATAACTTGAAAATAGGTTATGAAGTGCATGTATAGAGCTAGAGGTGCCCAATGAGGTAATGTTATTTTTTCTTTTCAAAATATCTCATGAGCTAGTAATTTTTTTTAAAATATCTCATAAATTAATATTATTTTTTAGTTTTTAAATATCCTATGATCCCAAGTTAGTATTATATTTTTCTTTTTAAACAAATATCATGTTCTTTCATTAAGAAATGACAGAGAAATTTGAAAAATAGTGGATTGGATTATTAGATTTACGAATCTAATTGATCAAAATAAAATTGCATTGGATAAAAATTTGGGCTAACAGATATCAATTTGTGTTCAATGATTGCTATCAAATAAAAACAGTAGTAAAATGTTAAAAATTTGGAAAATATATATTTTTAGATCTTTTTATGTCAAAAGAAGGAACCGGGTGACTTGCACGAGTCCAAGAACTTGGGAGAGTGTAATGATTTTTTTAGGAATTGTATTACTTTGATAAAGGAGGTCAGAATTATTTATAACCATCCGATATGAAATCTAATAGTTTACGTGTGTCACAAAGTTCGAAAAAAAATATTTTGAAGTTTGACCTTGGTCAATTGAATAAATGCATCCATCGAATTTCACATCCAAAACCGCCTTGTATCAAAGATAAATAGTCTCATCGTATGCTTTTTCTTCAAAGATGGTTGTAAATAATTGTGACATCCTTATATTAAAAATAAATAGTCTTATTGTATAAGATCCCTTTTTGCAATTGATAGTCTCCATGGAACTTGTAATTCTTTATTAATGGAAAATTTGTTAAATTCCATCTAAAAGTTGTCTATAGGTGTAAATTGACAAATTAGAAAACCCATAATGATGTATCATTTGATAAGTTATCATAAATTTGATAAGCTATCTACTGTAAGATCAAAATATATGGTGAGACGTTAAATAGTTTTTTTTTTTTTTGGTAATTCAGTGGGGATGACAAGCCCTTACCCATTTTTGAAATCGTTAGTAAGACGTTAAATAGTTCAACATTTGACGATGAACTTCCTTCATAAGTTAGATGTAAATCATTTTGAAATGCATTAAGATGAGTGGATAGGATTTGTTGCGAATATAGAATTGAATCATTTTCTTTTGTCCTTTGGACTTAATAACACATATTAATTTGGTTGAGAGAAGTCAAGGGTTTGAACCCTTGAAATCAGTCCCAAGTTGTCGTGACAAATTAATCTTAAGTAGTTGGGAAAAGGCTCAACTAGTTGATGGTGATGATGATGATGCCTGACAAATTAACATAAACGTTGGAAAAATAAACTAGCCATCGGAAGAATGGATTATTTTTTTCGATTGGGCCTAGATTAGATAAATGTTTGGGAGAGAAAAATCAAGGGTTGAAACCAACTAAATTTATCCCAAAGCACCATATTAGCTGGCCTACACTTCTTTATTAGCCATCTCTACAAATGAAGATATGTTTTTGTGAAGGATGAAGATTCTATAAAGCTTAGGTTTTATGAAAACAAAATAAATCTTCATCTCGACTCCTCATGCAGAAAGCATTTGGAATCTCCATCATAGCTTTAAAATCAATTTCCAACCTAAATAATGAATTTTAATACTCAAGAAATATACAGATCTTGCGGATATATAAACTCTTATTTTTAAGGAAAAATGGACGGGCTAGATAATTTTTTATAATATACACTAGTCTTAGAGCTTAAAATCCTAATTTTTCTTCAATATCATAATGTTCAAGTGGAGATGATCAATATAAAGATTTTCCAATGCTTCAATTACAATCTTCGATGAGCTATGAGGTGAGGCTTTATTCTGCAGCCCTATCAAACCACTTTCCTTTTGTGAATGGTAGAAACTCTCGAGTTAGTCTGAATTTACTTGAAGTTTTTTGTAGTTCTCGTTAATCAAGGTTACTTTGCC